CAACCTCAACCATTCTGTGATTCTGCGTGTCCCAAGATACATTAGCACACACTACCCCATTATGGGATAAAAACTGGTCAAACCATGAGATTCTTCCAGCAAACAGGGAAAAGTTATTGGTTAATGGTAGCACAGATGAACTCAATGCATGTGGTCAAAACCAGGTGCAGTTCTTGGCTATTCATTGAGAGAATGACTGAAAACAAGTAGATCTCTCACTTTATTCAAATCCCTATGAAGATGTTCTTTTGTAGGATATGATTAACTAAGAGGAAGATCCCTTCCTTTCTGAAAATAGGAACTACTGTGGCCAAAATTGTGAAGCTGTAAGAAGCTATAAACAAAACAGAAGGCAAAGCTTTTACAGAACACAAACCTCGTGACAGCATCTCTAGCATGTTGCAGTAAAAATTTGAAAAGTGAACATACAAAAGAACAAGAGAATTCAGTACCCTCTGTGAAGATCTGAAATGTTAATGGCTAGCAACTACTCCACATTTGTCTGAAAATTAAGATGTGTAGACCCCTTCGGTCCATAATTGGTTGCCATCAACCTTTCAGGATTCAGGAACTGCTGTACAATCCTTTACCTACAAGCTGGGTGCACCCTCCCCTCTCCCAGCACAGTTCTTGTAGTTGGCAGCTGTGATGGGAAGGTGTCCTGAAATGGAAATGGGAAAGGGTCCTCTTTGATGGTAAGTAAAAAGAGTACAGATATCTGACTGCGAAAACGGCTTTTACCCTATCATACTACTTATGTGGTCTTTGGAGCACTACAGGTGTAAACCAATTGCCCAAAGGAGGAAGGGGGAAAAGGAAGTGCAAGAGAGGACAGTTAGCAACTGTTAGCAATCTGCTCACGCCCTCAAATGCGCTATCTAGAATCACAGACCTAGTTCAAGTAATTGGACCAGATGACTTGCAGTAGGACTTTTAACTTTGTGATCTAGGCAGGCAGGCCATCAAATGTGCAAGAGCAGTAAAGCCAAGCAAGTCGGGGTGTTTTTTAATATGGTAACTATCAGACTTTCTTGATCAAGCCTCTCTTTCAGAGGTCAAGTGTCACACTCCTAGGAATCACAAAATAGAAGAGTTGTAAGGACTATGAGGCATATTACATCTCACCTAGTCGTTGTTGGGTTTCAAGTAAAGACTTCAAAAGGCCTTCCCTTTGGTCAATAATCGCAACTCTTTCTCCCGAGAGACAAGAAGCTGCATAACTGACACCAGCCTGTCTGCATGGCACACCAGCCTGCACTGTTAGAGCAGCTACAGCTGAAACAGGCAGCATCCAAAACTCTTCGGAGAGATCCAAGCTACCCAAATGGCCTCTAGGATCAGTCTAAGAAAGCTCCCTCAATTTCTGCTGGGAGGGCTCCTCTAATTCTGCACATGGGCATCTCAAACTGGCCCCCTTATGACTTCATAAAGTGGCCAGTGTGTTCAAAAGGCATTAGGGAGGGCAAAACAGATTCGTAGCAAAGTTGTTTTCAAGAGGATGAAAAATCAGTATAGCTCTTACCACTGACTAACAAATTTATGAAGATCGAAAAATCCAAACCCTTGAATAAAATCAATAAGGATCTTAGGTTTAAAAAAAAAAATTAATACACATTGATTATGATTTCACAAGTGGCTTCTTACTTTCCTTCACATATCACACCAATTATAAATAAGGAAATTTGTCTTTCCCTTTGCACTTAAAGCTACTATTGCTTATCTAAAGTTCTTTTAAGACAGTAAACATGATTTTGCAACATAAATTGTCAGAATATTCAAAGCTATGAGTATCATTTTAAAGTTGTATCTATCTAACTTACCTTCTGAATAACCACATGCCTGAGTCAATGCGTGACAGTGTGCCAGCATGGAAGCATGAGATATAGTAATGCCCACTGTGCTGCCCTCTTTACTTGTTTTGTACTGAAAAGAGAAAGTTTACACAAGCATTAGATTAACCACAAAATCTAGAAAATTTACAGCACTGAATGAAAAGGATATTTTATTATAAAAACGAAGCGAGCTTTTTTTTTCAAAAAGCTAGTGTAAAAGATACATTTATGTTCAGAGAATACACTAATATCGTATGAAATTTGACTGTTTCTCTACCCCAATTAAACAAATTGTCTCAGGGATCCAAAAATGCCAATTATCCCCAATCTTCAATCTGATTCAACACAACCACTCAAATGACAGTTTGCCTGGCAACCTTGAGGGAAACATTCTTGTTCCACAAAGTTATCTCTTTTATTGCATCAAGAGATTAAAGGACGAAAACGTGGTGTGACATAAAATACAACAGAGTAACTGTAAGTTAGGTGTATTATACTGGATCACCTCAATATAAGCAATCTCAGCACTGGCATCCCGTACTTGCGGATGCCAGTCCTTAGTTGGTTTTGCCAGATGCTTCCCATCAATCACAAACCAAATGAGACGAGGCCAGCCTTCAAAGAAAAAGAAAAGTTACTGTCATTACAGTTCCAAAAATCAGTTTTTTTCCCCTCAGTGTTCAGGGATAACAACAGGAGGCAAGCAAAAGCTGCAGCATCACTCCCCTGACAGGAAAAAGCAGCACTAAGTACTGTCTTGACAATTAAGGCAGTTCTTTATAGGTAAGCTAGAAGCACGCAAGCAAACTCCAAGATTATTGTTTAATAGCAACAATGGATATACCTGCTCTTTATCCTATAAAGAAATTTGAGTAGCTTAAAAACATACCTTTGAATGTAACCACCTCGCCAGTCTGAGCTTTAGGAAGGCCTTTTTGACAGGCATCAGTGGTTAAAGCTAGGGTTACTCCACAGCTGCCCAAAAGAAATCCAATCTGCTGGCTGCCAGCATCCTACAGAGAAACCATGTTATAGCAAACTTACAAATAATGAAGCTTTTGTACAGTTTACTGTAACTTTTCCATGTTTAGAAAATATTAAGCCAATTTATATCACAGGAAAAAAAAAACTGCTAGCCCATAAGACCTTTTATGGAAGACAAAAGACTGAAGTCTATGCTCAAAAGGCTTAGTTTTGCTTAGCGCCAACTAAATTAGATTTGGCAGTAGATCTAGCAAGCAATGGTAGCAAAGTAGTGTCAAAAGCAATGGTTGTGCATCCCTCTCCAACCCCAGAGGGATGTTTATAAGTTCTGGTAAAACAGAGAGCTGGTTTGATGCTGTTTCTGAGTCCTGAGGCACTGAAGAGCAGAGCCTGTAGCTTTTCAGCTCTTCCCTAATAATCTCAATGTGTGTGGGATTATACAGATATTTCTAGTAACTATGGTGTCTCTACCTGCTTATGCTCTCATTACTTAGCGTGAGAGCTGAAAAGACAGCATTTCTGTGTTATATTTTGAGAAATACTTTCACACATCTTTTAAAAAAATAATGAATTAAAATAATTTCTACAGTTACATACCCTAAAATAGTTAACTTATTAGCTTCATACTATTTCCCCGCCTCCCTAACTGAATATTAAACACTTTCCAAGCATATAATGTGTACTGAGTATTTCAGCTGATGCACCATACTGCTTTCAGAAGTGCAGGCTCTGAGGGGTCCATATAAGGACTACAGGATTTAGACACCCACCCACTTTATTTATTTACGAAACCATAAAGATGTTGAATGTATTTGCCTACCTTTCTTGTTAGTGGAACTTCTATTGGGACAGGAATAAGTTCCGCCAGGAGACATCCATAAAATGCCACCATAAACATAACTGGATCACTATTAGGAAATACGAGAGCTACCTACAAAAATACATTAAAATAACAAGAAATGTTTTTTGTCATTGTTGGGGGGTGGCAGGGGAAGGGCTGCTTTTTAATTTGTGGAAAAAGATCTCCACAACAATGTTCAGGTTCATATTTAAACTAGGAACAGAAATACTAAATGTTGTGATAATGTACTATTACAAGTCACAGTATTACAAGGCTTTATTTAGCTAAAGCTGTTCTTCACTGTCTATTTTATCTATAGAGACAAGAAGTAGTCGTCTACCCGGTCTCCAGGCTTCAGCAGTGGTTCATTCTTAGTGGTCAGCTTGTTTAGCAGGGTATATGCTAACTTCAAGCTTCGGCTCCACAGCTTGCCTAAAAGAAAAAAAAGACAATACAGAAATTAAAAAATAGAGACTAAAATTTTAACATTTAATTGGCAAATCTCAGTGCCTTATATATGCACTAGGCAAGTCGGTTGTATTAGAACAGGATCAACAGGCACATGAGCAAATAATTGGGGAAAAGTGAACATTGCTGCTGTGAAAGCAACCCCACCTCACAAACCTACTGAGTTCTTCCAGTGTATCAGTGTATGTGCACACACACACACGTAGTCTAGTTGATACAACCTAACTGCATTTCCAAAAGTCACTTCACAAGACTCCTTCCTAAGGACTCTTAGAGAAAGAAAACTGTTTTGCATAAAAAGAAAAATCCTGAAGTAGACAAAAAGTTAACTGAAATTTAAGAAACAAAGGGTAGAAATAAATGCCACAATATCTAGCTCTGTGAAATGCCAGTTCAGTGCTGAGTAGTCATCTACACAGCTCTCAATAATTCAGAACAAAAAGTTATTCCAAGCTATTAAATACAACAATCTAACTACTTATTTGACACAATATAAAAATCAGTTTTTAACTTGTAGCCTCCAAAAAGAAGCAGCGTTTTGATAAAAAAACCTGTTTATAAAAAAACTGAGCAGCAGCAAAACCCTTCCACTGTAAATGGTAAATCAAAGCAAGAACCCCCCAAAGAAGCATGCCGTGGCAAACAGCATGCGTCCGGAACTCAGCTTTCTAGTACAGGGTCTTTATCATGGACTGACATCCACACTCAATCCCTTCAGACCATGTAGCAATCATCAGCTATTTTGTGTTTGTCAGTCTCAAACTTCTTCAATTCAATAGGTTTTTTTCTGTGTAATTTCCAGTTGTATAAAAAAAGTTACACAGGACTCAAGTACCACAACAGTTCTTTATAGAACTGGCCATTCAGTGCAGTTGGCAGAAAGTCCAAGTACAATTTAGAGTTTGGCTTCTATTTTTAGGTTTTCTTTTCTTTTCATTTTTAAACGTAAAACTAAACATGATATTCTAAACAATTCTCAAAGCTCCACTGCAAAGTAATGAAACTAATGCAGCTGCTCAATTACATTTCCTGTAAGCATACTTCATCTGCAAGAATGCAAACACAAAATTTTAACATTCTAACATACTATACAATGAAATGCTGCAGTTCAACTGTTCTGGGGGGACACAATTATCTTCCAAAAAAAATGCAATTACTGTAATACTTCTAGCTCACTGATATAGGCAAACTTCACTTCCCACAATAACATCCTTAATATCTTCCTGAAGTACAAGTCTCCTCCATAAGGATATGCAAGAACATGCTAAAATTTAATATCTACTCTGTGAATCTGAAGAGTGCATTATTAGTCATCTGTTTCTTCCTCCTATTTTACACCAGGCTATTTTTAGTGTTCTTTCAAGCAAAAAACCCACAACTGTTTGAAATTTACAAATAGCCACTTGTAAAGAATCAATACCATATACATTTTCCCTTCATTAACTTTCTTAAAAATATTTTTCATATACAACGAATTCATAGTTTGCATTCGAATAGCAATCTCAAAGTATCTGTCATGAGCACAGTCAGTCCGCCTTACGTAAAGCAAGTTGTTCATTCTACAATGAACGCCTAATTCTTTCTTACAGTTATCACAAATACCTACCGTAGGTAAGCGTATAAATAGCTTTCCCAGTCGTATCCAAGGCAGTCAGGCAAGGGGCTTTCGGCTGGGTAGTTCCCCAGCGCTGCAGGGCAGCCAGCAGAGAAGGTGGCCAGTTGGTTACCACGCCTAAGGGTTCACCTTTAAGTACATTCATTTGATTTCCTTCAGGCTTTGGTTGATTTGGGTCAGGCTGTTGCACTGAAACAGAGCACAGTAAAATGGCAAATGTCAATCCTTACAAAGTGTGCAAGTTACACTTAATAGACTATTCTACGAACCGTTCTCACCTTCCTCTTCCTCACAGCTATCATTACTTCTCCTCTGCTTTATGATGATGCTATGCTAATCACCTGTTGGCTTCACAAAAAATAATTACCATCACTTTGGAGTTCTGATTCCACATTATTCAAAGGACCTGGCCACAGGAACAGAATTTGAAACCCTAGTTCACTCTTTTTCTCTACTTTGGAAATTCTGCTGTTTGTTCTGCACATCTATTTAAATGAAAGCCTACACCAAGTCAAGAAGCGTTGTCAGAGAGAATGGCTTCAGTGACAATTGAACATTTATTTTTGCTGCACCAAATTCTCAACAGGTGATGAAGACTGACACTGTGCTTCTGTAACAATATATATTAAAAAAAGGCCAGATGAAATACTCCTGGTATGAATTATCTACAACTAAAACTGTACTGCTCACATGTCCTGGTTTCGGCAGGGATAGAGTTAATTTCCCTCTTAGTAGCTGGTACAGTGCTGTGTTTTGGATTTAGGATGAGAACAATGTTGATGACACACCAATGTTTTAGTTGTTGCTAAGCAGTGCTTACACTAGCCAAGGACTTTCTAGTTTTCCATGCTCTACCGACTGAGAAGGCTGCAGGTGCACAAGAAGCTGGGAGGGGGCACAGCCAAACTGGCCAAAGGGACATTCCATACCATGTGACGTCATGCTCAGTACATAAACTGGGGAAAGCTGGCCGGGGGGGCCGCTGCTCGGGGACTGGCTGGGCATCGGTCAGCAGGTGGTGAGCAATTGTACTGTGCATCACTTGCTTTGTGTATTATTATTATTACTACATTATTATTATTATATTTCAATTATTAAACTGTTTTTATCTCAACCCACGAGTTTTTCCTCACTTGTGCGTTTTCCAATTCTCTCCCCCATCCCACCAGGGGGCGGGGGGGAGGAGCGAGCGAGTGGCTGTGTGGTATTCAGTTGCCAACCGAGTTTAAACCACAACATCAAAGAACATTTTTTTTTTTAAATTTCCGGATCGTCTCTCTCAACTGTCGAACATTGCAGGGTTTGTATGCCATTTGCTCTCTGAGTAGCCTGCTGTTAAAATCTTGCCCCAAACTGCTCAAGAAGGTGAAGTATCTTGATCTTAGTTAGCAAAACAAAGTCATAGTTGGATTTAGGTAACACTCAATCTATGCAATAACTAAAATTAACAGCTCAAAGAGATGCTCTCTGCTCTCCACAATGACATACATGCACCTCAATGAAAGTTTGCCTGAAAAAATCCTCAGCAAAAGACTAGAACCACAATCACTTCACATCTTAAAGTATCAAACAAATAGTACATGGAACCTAGCAGCAGCTGCTCAAAAATGTCACAGAGAACAAAATTTTCATTTAATCTTTAAGACTAAGAGAACAGAACAAAAATCGTTCTCCAAAATTAGCGGATGCAGCTGGTTTTAAAGGCAGCTACGTATTGCTAGCAACTTCTACATTTGTTTGAGATGCTTTTCCTTCTGCCTGGACACATGCATGCAGAGAAGAAAATAGTGTTTTTTAGCTGAGCAATATCTGCAGAGCATGTACAAGCACTATCCTTTCATGTAGTGCACAGACAAGACATATTGCACAGTGCACTCAATGCATTTAATTCCTCTGAACCTCTAAAATAATGAAAGTTTCTGGATTTCAAGAAGAGGATATTAACATGCATGCAAACAATATTATCATAATAAATTCCAGTTACTAGCAAGTAACTTTTTCCATCTAACTATATTTGGGCACTGGGCAGCCACCAAGCAACTTTTCAGAGCAGGATGTGGGTCTGCTTGTAGACAAGCAGCTGAATGCAAGTGGCCAGAGAGGTCATGGAATCTCCATGTTTGGAGATGCTCAGAACTGGACTGGACATGGCCCTGAGCTGCCTGATCTAGTCAGACCTGATTTGAACAGGAGGTTGGTCAGAACCTTCCAGAGGTCCACTGCACCATCAGTTACACTTAGGTTATGCCCTGACTTACTCCAAAGAGTACCCTCTATAAATTTGCTGATTACCACAGGGCAGAGTTTAGAATCTCTGAGGCAAAAAGTGATGGTGGGACCATCACCAAACATGACAATTTCTGGACGCACCAGTGAAGTTCTTGACAAAGATGTGAATAGGATTTCTCCAAATATCTGTAAATCACTGTCTTTAGTATTCACTAGCTCATCACACTGGTCCAAATTGGGCTGAATCAGAAGAGTTACCAAAGTGAGGGAGAAGGGCAGAGAACAAGTACACTGAGTAGGAGGGTTGAGTTGAAGATTATGTTTCACTTGTGATAGCATATGACCTTTCTCTCTCAAATGAAACAACTCCACCACAATTTGTTTTCTATTGGGAAGAGAAAAAGAAAACACTTGCTAAGATGCATCAGTTCTTTCATGAACCACTTACACAGAGTAAAAAATGTATTTGAAAGAAAATTAACCTTCTAGCAGTTCTTCAAAATCATCAACAAAAAACTCTTTCAAAGGTGGGCGCTTTGGTCTTTTCAAGGTATTTAGAAGCTGCTGGATTTTAGAGGACACTCTGCTATTCACTGGTACACCTGCCAAACAGAAAAGATATTAATATATGGTAAGTAATAAAAACATACACTAAAACACATGCTGCCACATTGCTGACAACATCACTCTAAGCTCAGCAGAGCTTTCAGGTGGAAGAGTCATTCAAGATGAGCAGCTTGTTTGGAAAAGAACAGCTTTAATCAGGAACAGTTTAAACCATGGATTTATTTGTTTTAAAACAATGTTCCCTAGCTACCTGGCTGATGCATACACCTTCTCACACTTCAATGTAGCTTTTCAAACTGCTGACTCGTTCATGAGATTCCAATACAAGCCTGAAGAATGTTCTTTTCTTCAAGAGTCTAGGTATTTGCTATATCTTAACATTTATTCAGATCTGAAAGTCTGAGAATGCTTGGAAAAAATAACTGAATCTTTCAATATTTTACAGGGCTAGCAAAAAATAACAACACAAAACCATGTCGAATGCTGATTTTCATTTGTATGTGTGATTTTTTTTTTAAATTAAATATAAATGTGTATGTTTATTTATATTTATTGAAATTTAAACCTCTGAGGCAATATAAAATCAAAACGTGAGACTAAAGGGCTTACATTGACTTTTAGTATAGAAATATACAGAAATGGGGACATGGCTCCCACCAGCAGAACACGGGAAACGCAGTACAGTTTCCTCTCCTGTGGTAGACTGACAGATACACCATACTACTGCAAAGCTTTGGAGGGGGCAGGCACATAGCACACAATGGGTGTCAAGCTCTCTTATGCATTTGCTTATTAAGAAAAAGGGACATAGATTGAAAGGTAGGAGGTTTATAATACAATCACCATCTGCAGTTTCCAAAATGCTGCTGTTGTAGCCTCTGGGAACTCCTCGCACTGATGCTACCTGTGGACGCTCATGATGTAAATGTTCCACCAGGCCAGTGGTTACATCTGGAGGTGCAGAGAGGTTATCTGTAGAAATGGAAGATGGACATAGGAGCTCATCAGTCATCTTAAGAATCAATATATCCAAAGTTGCTTCTTACAGCATTCTTGCTTTTTTCTCCCATGTGTTTTTAACAAAGCTCTGATTTCTCTAATCAAACTGTAACCAAAATCTAGATACAAGAGGAATCATGAAAGGAACCACCATGTCTCTCCAGGGTGGAGAGGAGCTATTCCAACTTTCAAAGGCATCCAAACAAATTCTGACAAATAGAGTGGTGGGTCACTCCAAGATGAAAGCAAGGAGATTCATTACGAGTAAGCAGCACAAGTCTACAAAGAAAGCCTATCTCGCAGAAGAAATACAGGCACCCAAAGTCTCACCACAAAACTGGAATGACTAGTCTAAGTCCCATAGGAAGAGAAAGGGACAAAAGCATAAGGTTTAAAAGAAGGGAACTTTTGCCCCAGGATAACATGAAGCACTTATCTACATTCTGCAGGCTATAAGAGGAAGACTTTTGCTGAGAAACACAGAACAAAGACAGTGCACTCAGGTCTGAACACATCTTGAGGATGGACATAGAGAGATGAGACACTCCTCAGAGGAAGGTAACTGCTGACTTAAAAAATTGTCACCTGCAGTTTGTAAGACCAGTCATGGTTTTCCTTTAACAGCTTTTCTTACCACCTGTTTTTAACAGTCTTGCAACAACACTGTAAGTAAAAGCTTTCTGTTTATGTTGTGGTACAGACACAGTATACTCTTCACTGGGGCGTCTATCAATAAGAACAGCTGGAATGCCTGTAACACTCAAAAAATCTGTGGTGTAGATGTCAACATTATACACACACTGCTCACAACGGATAAATTTAGCACAGGGTTTTCTGAGGCATGAGGTGGTCATTTGTGGCCGGTCATGACACACTTTCCTTTTAATGGTGTGCGCTACAAGCAATAAATACTTAAATGTTTTATAATATATATTTACATAGAGAAAGCAGGGCATTTCTCAAATCCTCACATACTCACAGGGGCTTGAGAACCACCTTCTAACAACATTGAGGCAAAAGCCTGATTTGCTTGGAACTGCACCATGTTTCTGTGCTGCAGAACAATGCTTAGGGAATATCGTCATTCCAAAATTGTGACCTCGATTATGGAACAGTTTTGAATGGAATCACAGGTTAGGAAATGGCAGTATCTGGGAGAAGTGTTCAAACAAGGAAAAACAAGAATTGGAGGCCTGAAATATTCAGAATCCTAATGAGTAAAAATAGGAGTGCAACAGGAAAGAGCTTATGAACACACTGCAGCTCTGCAGTGATACCCCTTGAAGGACCTCAGCATGCCACAAATTCTGCAGAAAGAACTCAAAGCATAGGGAGACCTAGGCAGTGCTGTGGAATACATGTATTACCCCACCCATTCTGAGGAAGTGATTAGCAGCACTAAGATAACAAGTGTTGTAGCTCTGTTCACAGATTTCCAGAGCTGACATACAAGCCACCAGCACAGCTCTAAGTGGCTTTAGAGGGATCACCAGAAGAAAAAATTAAATGCATTCCCATACTTTCCAACATCATCACTGCAATGCCGATTTTTGTATTGCAGAGACCTGCCTTGCTGGGTACTAAGCAAGGACCACAAATTCCTCTCCTGTGGGTAAGGTACACAAAGGACAAAGTATCACTTCATCTCTCTGACAAATGCCCAAGTTAGAACCAGTAACAAGAAAAGGTGACAACTATGGGTAAAGCTGATCTGTATAACCACTTTACAGGGCGTATAGAAAGCCCATGTATTCAGAGTGAATTGAAACACTCTTACTGTGTTCCATATACTTTCTGAGTTGCTTTTTGGCTGGGTTTTTTTTTTCCTTAGCTTTACCAAAGTCCCACAACATGGACTTCATGCAGCATACAAAGTAATCGCAGAAAAGGACACAGAGCCAAATGTACCTGGTTCCCGTACTGCAGTATTAGCCCACAAGTCCATACTTCTCAACTGACAAACCCTGCAGTGATTATCAACGTCTAACGTTTCTACTCCTTAAATACACCAGCAAGAACTACAATTAGGGATGTACCTACAGTGTGGATTCATCAGTGGAAGGCCCCAAAATGGCATTCCTATAGATGAAGTTGTTACCACTAAACATTAAGGTGACTCAAAATGTACTCTCGAAGTGATGTACACATAGGTACAAATATAACAATCAAGAGAAAGGACAAGAGAGACTGACACACACTATGAGACTTGGCACATGTATGGGTCAGAAGCCATGCATAAAGTACAGAAGCTGAAATGCTGAATGGATGCAGGTTTTACCATGCATATTCCTGTTCGGAAAAAGCAATCTTCTACCCACATGCATGAGGCAGATATTTGAAATACAAAAGCTCTGCAATCAGATGCTCAGAAAATAATATATAGAAGAAGCTATTTGGGAACATTTATGGAAGAGCTGTGTACTTGGGAACAGGTCAGAGAAATCACAGAAAAAATGAGAATGCTCAGAAAAGAAACAAAAAACCCATTAACAATCATTCCCAACTGAAAACAAGCACAAAAAATAGCTATATATGGAGGTGCTAATCTACAGCATTCACATACCTTACAAGCATCTCTGATTTGCGTGAAACTTGGCTCTATGTCCCTCACCATAGAAGGGAAATGGCGGGGTCCTTATCAACAACTTCTCTGCTGTCCACAGCTATTTCATCTTACATACAGAAGAGAACTGACTCTCCCTCCTAATTCTGCCTTGCAAAGGCAAAATTCTTTCTATGCATGTAGAAGGAAGTTCAATTTTCAGGATTTATGCTCAGATAAAAATCACATTAGCTTAATTAATTATTTAGGCTTTTTATTAAAATACGCCCATAAGAATCCATGAAATTAGTCTGTATCACCTAGAGATACTGTGGCAAAGCAGAGAAAGAGAAGTGTTAAGTAGTCAAAAAAAAAAAAGGTCTGAACAGACTTGTGACCTCAGGAATAAAGTTAATTGGATTTAGACTGAAGTACTTTTCCATTATTGATTAGAAGACAGAGATAAATGCAAGAGAGCAGTGGCCCAAGAAAGAACATATGGGATTATGATACAGAAAATTAAAAGCTAGGTATCGGACAAAAAGTAGTCTCTAAGGAAGAATCTCAGGGTGAAGACTTAAACATTTTAGAAAAGTCCCTACCTAGCAGGAAGTCAGGTTAGACCTAGAGATGGCTGTGTATGATTGTTTTTTCTCTAGGAAACCAATCAAAATGGACATTTAAAAGAAGTTTATTAAATTGTGTTGGAACAATAAAACAAAAAGGAGTGCACCAACCCAGCCAGAACATAAAATAGGATCCACAAGCCACTACCTCATTCTTGCGTTTCCTCTTCAATAAACTGTTTCTAACACACTTCACTCTCACAGCTCCTGTAAAACTGCTTACAGAGGCACAGCAGTTCAAAACACCTACTCTTATAACCCTGCTTCCCCTTAAGAAAAGGAATTGTACTTTTAAGTCTTTCAATAAATAGATAGTGGGTCAAATACCATGGTAATCTATTTTTCCAGTTACTCTACAAGAGCTACACCATCTCTACATGAGATGGTGACCTTGAAAAAAAAAACCTAGGCACACTGCTAGCCTTATTCATTTTAAAGAAAGTATTACACTAGAAGAAAAAAAGCCCCCAAAACAACTTGCAGATGTTGTCCTTGCTTTTATAGGTGAAAGACAAACAGCTTAAAAATAATGCATATTCCTATCTGACTTTATTAAATACTGTAACCTTGCACTTCCAACACTGCAGTCTATTGCTTGGGAATTTAGTATGATCTCATCATTAAAAATGCAAGCTGGAGAAGATGAGCTGCAAGGGAACCATCTGCTAAATTTAAATTTTCCAACATATCAAAATTATGAATAGTTATTCAGTACATAGTCAAAATACAGAATATTTTAGTAAGGTATAGTATTTAAAATATCTAAGATACCTTTTATATTGCTGATGTCAGCACATTAACCAAGAAAATAAAAAACCCTCTTCTTTTATGCTCTAGGACAAATCAAAGGGGTCCTTTGTGAAAGTATACTATTATTTATTGATAACCAAAAAAGTTTGCAATGTAAGAACTGAGTAAGTTTTCATATTCTTGTGAGCAAAGGAGACTATAGTCAAACTTGCTGATGAATTATTTTGACATGAAAAATGTCACAACTGAATTGTTATTGGACATGCATGAATGTTACCAAGCTAGAAATGAAAATTGATGGAATATGGCAAGCATTTCAGAAATGAGGAAGATTATTCTTATGCAAAGAACATTTAATTTTTTGTCAAAGGCACTGGAAATTTTACCTTTCTAAACATTTTTAGTAGATCAGGTCTTAATGATCTCTGAGCTTCCTTCCTGATAGATACTATAATTGCATATTTATTCCCCATTAATGAAATTTCAAACTACTCCACTGCATGCAGTCCAACATCTAGCTACTTAAATGCTGGACTTTGAACTGTTTAAAAGGCCTTGATTTTGCATACAATTTTGATGATTAAATAGTCCTGATGGAAAGGTCTTAAGAAGTCAGTTGTGAAATTTGATATGTATTTATATGGCTTGAGATATTAGACATAACAGGATGCTGTGTTACATTTTGCAATCTTGCAAGTTTTTACAGCTATATTAAGAATTTCATCAATCACACTTACAATTATGGCTAGCTTCCAAGTTTATTTGTTAATTTTAAGGAGTTAAACATGATTCCTATACATCCATAATGTGAAATCCAGAATGCCCTTAAAGCAAGGCACAGACATATTCCATCTTGCTTACATCCACTAAGTAAAAAAAAAAAAAAAAATTGCAAATTTCTTATTATAAATTTTGTACAAACAGGAAAAATTTCACTAGCAATAAAGCCACAAAAGTTAATCAAAGAGGCAAACCTTTCTAACTATGTTTATGGATGAAGTACTGACGAAGTGCAGAAAAATGAACAAAGCCAAATGCTGCCCGTAACTTTGTAAGACGCAAAACAAAACCCAACATTTCAGCATGCAGGAGCTTTCTAAGGCAACAGCACTAAGCAGGCTTGGAGAAAAATGTTTTGCCTTGTAAAAGGTTAGATATCAGAATTCCTCTCCATACTTGGCTTCTGCAATAAAGAGATCCCCATACAAATAGAGGAGGGAGCAAAAGCAAGTAGGAAAGACACAGATATAACCCTTCCCAGACCTTCTGACATCTAAAGAGCCTTCCAGAACACAAAGCAAACTACTACCTCTTTCCATCAGAGCTCCACTTGCAGAAAACTGCCTGCACTGTGAAAATTGGGGTGTCAATCACAGCAAAATGAGTCAATCCCTGTTTCTGTCAGTACCTAAGCCACACAGAAGATCCAGAGGATCCTCTTTTGGAGAGCCTCTAGCTTGTTCGTATTCCTTTCCCTGTTTCAGAATGTGCTGCTTCCCTGAAGAAGTAAAACTCCCAGTCACAAACTACAAGCATTGGTTGCATTTTGAAGCCCATAGCTACTATAAACCAAGGCTGATGCCCCAAACTTAGTATAAGGCAGAAGGAACTCAGAGAGCAAACCAGCAAAGAATGGAGAATCAACCCTCTCACGAATAGCTGCCTCACGCCTAAGAGAACTGTGAACTGTTTGTATGATCTAAACAGGGAAGGCTAAAGGATATGTGATTGGGCTTTCAACAAAATTTGATCGTAACAGCTAGACCAGCTAAATGAATGGGTATTTGCGAAATGTATTTATGCCTTAAATTATCATGTTAATTGACATCTCATATACAGAAGCTTGTATACTCAGTTTAAATCTAAAGCATTTCAATGCGTTTTCCTCATCTGACCTAACCTGTTCTCTATAACGAATTAAAAAAAACTGTCTGTATAGTGCATGTAGGCAGTCACAGATAAACAGTCAGGTAAGTAAGTAGAGCACTAAAACTGCCAAAACCTGAAACGTCCAGGAATGATATACGTGATACCTATTGCATATTACTAGAAGCACAAGAACTTCATGCTGTAGCCCATAGGTGAAATATAAACACCATGCTTAAATTCATTTTTCTGAATTACTTTGGGGAAAAAAAAAATTACTTGAAATAAAAAATTTTTCTCCTCTAGGTCCTTTCTCATCGTTTAACATCAGTGCAGACCTGCTGCATGCACATAAATCCACTATCAGTCTTCACTATAGTGTACAAAACATTGTAAAAAAAATATCTCCACGGTCGGTGGAAGAGACTGCCTTTCTCCCTCCCTACCAAATCTTTCAAAAACACAAGACTAGTGCTCTGCATTTTAGGACAAAAAAGTAACCTGAAGTTCTGGACCTTCAGCGTTACAGAGATTGAGACAAAACTCACATTTACATTTTGGCTTACTAATACTTTAACATTTTCACTCTAGTTTCACAATAAAGGACTATTCATGACCTAAATTTTAATTAAAGGAAAAAAAAAAAATCACATTTCAGCTTGAAATCTAGCTTTGTCAGTACCTCTGATATCATAACTTTCCAAAAGATTCTGGATGTTTTGCTAGTCTTTTGGGTGTTTACCAACTGAGTCACCTTTAAAATCTATAACCTGATATCATCTAGGGTAAATACGTGCAGATCGAAAAGCATGCACCAAAAATATGATCTCTTTGAAATTTTGCTTTTGAATCCAGTAAAAATCGAACCTTAGTTTCTTGATAAATCAAGCGTTTTACCAAGAAGAATGCATGTTCAGATCTCATGAACAACTGGTCTGGTTTAAATTAAATACATATATATCATACATACCTGGTCTGTGGATTGTACATTTTAAGGCTATTTATAGGTATCTTCTGGTGAAGACTTTTGTGTTTAGCCCTGCTTTGGGATTTTTAATTTGATTTTATTCCAACCACACAGGCAGTTCTTTACTGACCTAGCTGGGTGTGTGCCATGAGATCTGCAAGCACAGTGGCAGCAGCGGTGGCAGTAGCAGTATTGGAAGCAGCAGCAGGTTTCCCTCCTGGATGAGATGAGGTGGAGGATGCAGAGGATGAGGTGGAGGAGCCCTGAATAACCCGGTTAAGCCAGGACTCTACGTTGGAATGGCTCTGGAACGGAGTGGAGGTGATCCGCCCTTGCCGACGTAACGAGCCCTCATCTTCTGATGCTGACGATGTGTCTGTGATTAAAATAACGATGACAGGCATGTAATGTGGGAATGACCCAACAGACGGAAACATGAAGTTTTTCCATGTTCTTCACGTAGCATTCTCATGTGCTACACATGAGATGCATGTATTAAGCAAATGGTATATTCACATGCAGAAAGTCTGCTCATTGCCATTTTTTAGGTTAATGCAACAACTTTTACACATTATAGCTAGAACACACTTGAAGCAAAGTTTCATTTACCTCCTGTATTTGGAATGATGTTAAGACTCAAAAAAGGCTTCTACCTAAGGTACCTAGTACATTCACTAATCATTCTCACGGAGCACACTATACCTATTCCACTGAAAGAATATTTCTGTTCAGAACAGGTAAATTTTATCTCATCCCACCTGAATAAATTCCATTATATTTTTTGCTAGGTATTTTCTTTTTATTTTTGGGGGGAGAAATTCTTCATTTTTTGATTATTTTGACAAATTTTTTGAGAACTAATTACTAAAAAAAGCACAGTACTGTAAAGTTCAATGAAAGAGTAATTTCACTAATGTAAGAAAAATTAAAAGGAATTTAAAAGTATTTATTTTAACCACATAAACTGATATTAATAAGCACTACATAGAAATGCTTAGTAAAGCAACTTTTCATTCTAATTGTATATTGTTGCTGTTAGAAGTCTGATAAAGGTCTCCTATTTTAATTACCATTCAGTTATTTACTACTTTCCGGAAGTTTCCCTTTTGCACTCAATCTTTCCATATTTATTATCCACTCAATAACAAATAAAAAGGTCTTTCTAAATATCAATAAAATACATCTTTGTTGATTTTGAATGAAAAATAGAAACTTTTGTTACAGAAAAAGAATCTTGCCTTCCGAAAGAGCCTGCTGTATTTTAAGGACTTGATCCTCTGTATGCTTCCCCCACCTCTTCCCTGGGTAATTAAGGGAAAGCTCCTAAAACAATGCATTGCCCATATACTGATAAAGTTCACATCAAGTCAGTTTGTGAAGAGCAGTTAAGTCACACATAACGGCCAGAACAATTAAGAAGTCAGCAGGAGCTGAAAAACAGCTTCTGAAAAAGATAGGGTGTCCATTACCATACTCTAGAGCCCTTTCCAGACGTGGAAATCCTGGGTGATAGTGGGGTGGGTTACCTCAGAAATTCTGCAACCTTAATTTTGATATTTTTTTTTTTTAACCCTCTGAACATGTAGTTGCTGTTAAGTTCAGCTATATACAATTCCATATAAATTTTGTTGAATCCACATTAAAAATCTTTGCCTCATATTTGGCAACAAATTTCAGTTACCAGGTGTTTAATTTTCTGCTTTTCAAGAATATGGGCATTTCCAAGAGCTTCAGAATAATTGCTCTTAAACAGTCTAAAACCACAAAAATCAGAAATAATTTCATAAGGAGCCCATTTAACTCAATGGTATTTTCAAAGTTAAAATCACAGATCTCTCATTACTTGACCATCTGTCCTGGTTTCGGCAGGGATAGAGTTAATTTCCTTCTTAGTAGCTGGTACAATGCTGTGTTTTGGATTTAGGATGGGAACAAAACTGATAAGGCACCGATGTTTTAGTTGTTGCTAGGTAGTGCTTACACTGGCCAAGGACTTTCTAGTTTTCCATGCTCTACCGACTGAGAAGGCTGCAGGTGCACAAGAAGCTGGGAGGGGGCACAGCCAAACTGGCCAAAGGGACATTCCATACCATGTGACGTCATGCTCAGTACACAAACTGGGGAAAGCTGGCCGGGGGGGCCGCTGCTCGGGGACTGGCTGGGCATCGGTCGGCAGGTGGTGAGCAATTGTACTGTGCATCACTTGCTTTGTGTATTATTATTATTACCACATTATTATTATTATATTTCAATTATTAAACTGTTTTTATCTCAACCCACGAGTTTTTCTCACTTGTGCATTTTCCAATTCTCTCCCCCATCCCACCGGGTGGGGGGGACTGAGCCAGCGGCTGCATGGTGCTTAGTTGCCGACTGAGGTTAAACCACGACGCCATCCCTAGTCAAACATGACAATTTTGAATGAAAATACACAAACAATTATGTTTGAGAAGATACAGCTGTGGTGGATCACCATTCCTGGGTCCGTGCCTTGTATGATATTCCTGGTCTACTGCCACAGTTGTAGTTTTTGGCTGCTGACTCCATCTGCTCCTGGAGAGGAGCCAAACCTGCCCCTTAGTGCTTGCAACCTTCCAGTTCTTTTAGGCAGAAAGCAAAAATAAACAATTCCAGGAATATGGAACAAGATAGGATTATAAACAGTCAGGTTTTGAAAAAAAAAAAACAAAACCCCAAACCTCACATTTGTGATTACTATCACTTCAGAAAGAAATAAGACTACAGAAAAAACAGGTTTCTCAAAGAATACAAACTCTGATAGTATCTCCTTATCCAGATACAAGTTTAATGAAGTCTCTCTAAAATTTCTAAGCTTTCAGATGTCTTACATAAGCGGAGGGGGAAAAAAAACCCACTTTGAATGTAAAATATTAACTGTGTACAAAAACAAAGGATCCATAGTAAAAACATTCTAATATCAAAACATAATTACAACAGAAAAGTAGCAAGGTAACATCAGTGACTAGCTCTGTGGCAGTCGCAAGAGTTAATAGTGGTTCTCTGTGTGCTGTGAGCAGAATGCTATGTACTTGGCTTGCAGCTCTTCCTGGCTGGGAGCTGACCCAAGATAGCCACAGAAACCACCACCCTTTGGACCAAACTTGCATCAAGACTACAGCTTCTGATCACATGAAATCCGTATGGGAAGGATGAGAAACTCGATGGGACAAAAACAAAAGTACATTAAAATTTTTGGAAGGATGACTGATGAAAGCAGTTCCATTACTGCCGGTCAGGACTTGGTTTTGAACTTAACGCTGTGACTAGAATCCAATGCTTCCTTCCTGGTGACTGATGGTAACTGTTTGTAACAAAATTTTAGTTATTAAGAAAGCCTGGCTTTAATTCCATTAACTTCTGCCAATACAAGGATTTTAAGGCAGTGCTTTAATGGCTCAAGACAACAAAACTAGATGCTTCAGTGCTACTCAGGTTCTTTGCAATTTCAGATCTTTCCTGCTGCGCTAACCTGCTGAGCTAACTTTGCAAATAAAGGCAGGCCCATACGACAACAATTATTTTTGTGAATTGATATAGCTGAAGCAAGTCCCCAGAATACTTTTGAATGGCCTGATCTCCTACGATACAGAATTCATCCAGTGGCCCATTCTCTTACAGAGATAAAGGTATCTCATAACAAGTCACCTTCTCTTAGAACAGCATGACAGATCCCAGAGACACTTAACTCTTCTTTCAGAATATATTAGTTAGAGTGCTTCTGTATCTTGCTAAAGCCCAGCGCAAGTATACTTGCCTTCTCTGCTAACCACTTGGGCAGGCATGTTGGAAGATGACACTCTCCAGAAGCACAAACACCCAAAAACACTCACACAAACACAGGCACATCCCATGGCCTCAAACTGCTCCCCTCTCTGACTGAGCAGGATGGAGGTCATACATGTACAGACATATACAGTGTGGATCCCTCCAGCAGCTAGGCTCGGACACTCGGTCTGCCGAGTAGCTGTCCCTGGATCCCAGTCTCCCCAGTTGCTGGCATCTGGACATACGAGCCCAAGGCTGCAGTCCCATTCCATTTGTTAATATAGACTGATTGAGCCACTCCACGCACACAGAATAGAGTCCCTCACCCAGGAGAGGTGTTAGAAACGGAGTATAACAGGAGGAGAGGACAGACTGCAGGGTCAGGTGCAGGGCATGGCCAGGCAAGTGTACCATTTATACATACCAGCCCTTTTTATCCCCTTACCCCGCTGTTTTCCCCACACTTGTTCCTTCCCAAGTCACCTAAATCTACCCCTTTCCCCATCTGTGGTTCCTCACCTAAACGTCCCATAACAAGTCTCATGCAGTCCCAAAATAATTTTGCCCTGCATCCCATAATGTGTCCCATACCCCTCTGTGACATCCCCCCTCAGTCCAGAAGGTGCTCTAGTGTTGACTAGTCTTGATGGGTTTCATGCTTGAATGGGCGGGCTGAGGCTCTCCAGGGACAGCCCTGGGAGGGGCCTGGACAGGGTGACCCTTCTCCCGAGTCCTTAACTTGGGTTCCTGCCTGCTGTTGTTCCCCGTGCTCCTCTGGCTTGTGGAAATGGGTCTGTGACAGGCTGATGGCTCCTGGGACAGGCTTGGGAGCAGCTGGGGCAGGGGATTATTTGGGCTCCCCCACCCTGCCACTCTGTGCTCCTGCAAAGGTGCGCAGACCAGCTTTTACCACATAACCTAACAGTTTACTCACAGCATCTCAATGTTTTTCTTTATAGAGTCTCTCAACCCTCCCAAGACTTCGCTCCTTCAGAGCAGCACGCAGAGCCCTGACATCAGGCAGAGTGAGCACAGCAATAACCGCAGGGATACTGCTTCAAGTCTGTCCCAAAGGTATTCAAAAGAGAATGATATTTTGATTCTCTCAAAAAAACTGCAAGGCGATTCCTTCTAGTTTTAAATGCTAAGGAAGACAGGAAAGCCTAGCTGTCCTCCGCTCTCAGCAGAGCTTCTGGATGCCATCTATCTTTCATACACCAAATCTTAGGCAGAACAGCGGCATGTTCTTTTCTTGTCGTGACATACCTCACGCCAAGCACATAGTGATTTGTCACACTAGGGGAATGAAAGAAAAGGACAGAGTTATATAAAATCCCACTGCTGACTGTTTTATCAGAGTTTATTTTGGAGAGTGAGAAGGAATATTGCTTTAAGAGCTATAAAAAGAAACCTCAGGGCCTCTCTCCCGAAGCCTCAGTATACAGATGAGCTATACATTAATTTTCTCCATAATTTTATGCAATTCATGACAACTTTCACATACAAAAACAACAAGTATGCAAGAAAACTCAAGAGCATGATAACCACCCTGCTGCAACAGCTGCCCTCATGGGCTTCTGAGTATATGAGTACTAGAAGAATAAGCTAATCAAAATGCATGATACCTTAACAGATCTTATAGGCAAAAACGTAAGCGTGAAGAAATACCATATATAAGACTACAGAAGAAGCTTATTATTTATTAACTAATGAAATAATCAGAGAACCCACAAAAACGGTATACAAAAGTGTGTGACTAGCAAAGAAAAGTGGAATTTCCTATAAATGGGAAGAATAGAAAGATGAAATATAGCTCAGGAAGCAAGACAGCAGCACAGCAGACCTGCTCTTTTACAGAACAGGGATAAGAAATAGAATTGATGGAGAAGGGCACTAGAGGTCAGTGTGCCTCTACTCCTGGGCCACATTAGAAAAGACAAAAGCACATCATTCAAAAACTCAAGAGCTTAGGGAAATTCCTCTTCTTTGTATACAAGACACTGGCCCCAAAACACTTGGCTTGCTAGCACAACATGTTATCTGGAGAAAGATTTTCTTAACCTCTAGAGAATTCATTGTGAGACAACAGGAAGTTTACTTCCCCCCCCACCCCCCCAAAAAAAATTAAAGAAAATGTTCTGATTAAAACAATCTGAACAACTATAGCGTATGATTTTCTGAATGTTTTAAATTGCTCACAGTTCAAACCATCTGATGAGTGTTCTGCAAGTTAATGCAGCAACTTAGTGCTCTGGCATTTTCTTCAACTCTTAAAAAAAGAATCTTATGCAACATGAAATAAGGTATTTACAGCTCTGACATGCTTGCCAAGATTATCTCCTTCCAAGCGAGACATTACATAAGAGAACATACTTAATGCATAAAGGGCAACTGCTCACTCTAGTATTGCTTTCAAGTGTACCTTTAGCAGCTACAGTATCTCTAGATGAGACACAAAATCTTGAGGAAAGACATCAAAGAACAAATCCAACCAACATCTGATTATCAGGAAATACAGCCATGAATATAGAAGTAGATTATTGCAACATACTTACAACTTAGCAGAACAAAGCATTTGTTCTTTATATATTGCTATCATGTTCACCTGGCAAGATTTACATATGTTAACTCAATAGATACCTGGAGGTGTGTACGTTTCTACCGAAGAATGCACAAGAACAGACCGTCTTTTTGAAGGCATGGGCATTTTTCTCTCTTTGTATTTTGCAAGTGCTGCTTGTACTGCTTCAGTGTGGACATCTACATAGAAAAAAAAAAGGTTAAGAGATTAAGTTTAATCATTATTTCTTTCTAAAAACATAAAGCATCAATGCCATCTTTTACAGCTCAAATCCAAAGGCTGAATCGCACATGATGGCCCTTATGGCTTTAGGCCTGCTTAGCTTGCAGAAAGGAGCAGGTTCTCAGCTTCAGAGGAAGCAGCACTTCTTGGAGAGCAGAAAGGTCCAAAGCTAAGTGACAGTAACACGTTTTTAAATTCTGAAGCTGTGACAACTCTATCAATTGCTTCTCCTTCAACAGTGTTTAGTAGGAATGAATAAATACACCTGCCTCCCACCCAAATTCAGCTCAGAAGCAATGGTTTCAAAAGTTAAGGAAGGATATAAGCAGGGTCAAGTTGACATACTTTCCTCATGAAATCAGCTTGAAAAGGATTTGCGAGTATCATTTAGGAAGAACACCCTGAAAATCAATACTGAAGTTACAGAATACCTAGCACACTAGTTCTGAGCTACGATTTATTTTCATTATTTGGGGGAAATTTCAACGCAGATACTGTAAATTGGCAACAGCATTGGACTCTTCATCCTTCAAAATCCACAATGGGAAAAGAAGTGAAAAAAGTATACTTGAAGCTCTCACAAAAGAATGCAAGTAATAAAAAACAGAAAGAAGAGAATTAGGGAAGAGACACAAAAGTGTTTTCACTTTCCTGAAAGCAAAAATTACCCTAATATACTCATGGGGTGTATTTTAACTTTTCTTATTTTTAAGCCAAAACTGAGATTAAAGAGGAATTTAGTGTTCAATCAAGACCACACTGCAGATAAAATTTAATGTATTCAAGTAATTCTAAATTGCCTTCAGCAGATTTTTCTCTTTGACATATATATTTCAATGGTGTCAAAAGCTAAAACTTATGTACAAAGAAAATTCATGAAAAGTGGATAGATGTCAAGGAGAAATGAGGCAGACCAAAACTATACTTTGACTTATGAACTAAGATTCAAACTCATGAAAAACAAGTACAACATGTATACACTTACACATAGCTACAAAGGGCCCAAAAGCAAGTATTATGATTATGCTTTTGTCTTACCAGATTTCTTTTACATGGAAGCTGCTATACAAGAATTACAGAATGAAACTGTTCAATTTGAAAAAAAAAAAAAGTATTCTTTCATTAAGTATCCATCTAAAGCTGTAAATACATAACAGGTTGAAAGACCTGTAGGTATGAAACTCAGACATGTGACATACATACACGTACAGAACTTACATATTAAAAGAAAAGTAGTTTCTCTGCCCCATACCTATACGGATTAACCTTGATGATGACTACAAGTAAAGCTCCATATTTTATGGTGCCTTTAAAAAAAAAAAAAAAAAAAACACAAAAAAACCAAAAAAACCCAAAAACAAAACAGGTACCATTTCTGGTACTGGTCCTGAACCTGCTTTGGTCATGCTTAGCATGAGGTTTTTCCTAATTTATTTTAAATATGCTGATCAATTCCAGTTAACTTTGACAAAGCAAGAGATAGCTCGGGGGAAAGCTAATCAGTATACATCTTAACGAAAATCAGAAGAGATTTTTGAGCATCCCAGAGAATGAAAGGCTGTGAAACAGCAAAGCACAGCACATCAATGTGAAGCTGTAGGAAGCCTTGGCATGAACACTTTCCAAAGGCAGCTGTGTCCCAACGCAGTGGATAAACACTTGACACCTGGGAGACAACTGTTCAATTCTCCATTTCAAAAACAGATTACAAATGCTGCCCATAAACTCAGAAATATGACCTCGCCAGAGGAGGCTTCATGCAATATATTTCTAACCAACTCTAACAACAGATACTAGCAGATGACTTTCTTTCAGAACTTCTATTCTTAAGTAAATCAGACAAAAATCACCATAGCTTAATCTGACATCTTTTCCTATGTTAGATGAAAACTGTTCCGATTTCCACACATAAAAATCCCCCCTGCTCCAAAGCATATTCATACCACGTACTTCAGGCATCTAACTTTTGGTCCCTGACTACACAGCACAATTTACTGCAACACATGAGATCAAAGAGACACCATGAGAGAAGCAAGTTAAAACCCCAGTACTGGAAGAGCACAACGCCTTTAAGAGAAATGCCAGAAAAAACAATCCACTCTTAACCAAAATTCAGGAAGCTGCTTTTCTTAGTCACAGGTCCAAATGAGAAACAAACTGTTTCCTTCAGCCTGGCCAAATGGATCAGGAAAATCAAAATAAGCCCTGTACGTATGGTCCCAGACACCACCTAGTTCTTTGCAGTAACAATGTCACCTTTCAAGTCTGCAGCTCCCCCCAGATAATCTGTTCAGTGCTGTATTTAAAATATATATATATGCAAATATACTATCCCACCTGTGTGTTCTTACAAGACTTAGGAATTTACTAGGTAGAAGCTTGTCTCAAATAAGAACATTTTGTGCAACTAACCTGTAAGGTTCAAGGACAATGCTGTTAGGAGGGGAAAAAAAATATTAAAAAAAAAAAATCACTTAAACTTCTATCTTTTGAGACAAGATTTTTTTTTTTATACTGGGCACCATGTTAGATTTTTGCTGCAGTCCTTCACACCAAGGAGTTGTTAATAGATGTTTTATGAATTAAAAAGTCATTACCCTCTCCCTATGTCTCCCTGCCTCCCTTCCCCACATCTGGGCTACTGCTTTTTGTCAAGTCTTGGTTTCTTCTGATCTTTAGTTTTGGACTTTTCCCCCTGCCTTGTAAACGTCCACTATTTAAGTTTATTCTCATGGATACCCAGAAGCAAACCTCTTAATTTCACAAAACTCCAGAAAGTTTAAGCAGAACTCAACACACTCCTAGTTTTGTTGTGTTACTTAGATGCACCAAAGACATTACTGCTATCCATAGACTCGAGAATATGACTTAAATTAAAGGTTATTTTTGCAGCCTTAAAAGTTAGGGGCAAAATGCCAATTCTGCAGGACACATTTCCATAGCAGAACTTTCAGTCAAAACCAAGCTGCATGTTTTTAAAAAAAGATGGTAACTATTAGATGCTTTCACTTCAACCATGCATATATCTGTACATAATTTAGAAGACATTTTTGTTACATTAACATCTGGTAGGAAGAAGGTGAACATAACAAATGGCTTTTCTCCAGAAAAGGTCTTTCGAAAGACAAAAATAACACACAGTATTTACAGTCTATATAAATTTATTAAGTCATTAAATAACTTCGCAGATTAAAAAAATGAAAGCATTCTTAGCTAGTTGTGTATTTAGGGAATGGAAAGGACTAGCTTGAGGCAAGGGTGTGTTGAGGCATTTTAACAAAGTAGAGTGAGACAGGTCATAACATCACACAGATTTGTGGTAGCAAACATGGGAACTACTTTTTATTTCATTTCCAGAGGGCAAAATCAGCACCACCCCCTCCTCCAGCCCTCCTACTCCCACCCCAGAACCTGGAAAATACTAGATTAAATTATAAATATGCAACCAGAAGACAGTCAGGATAAATTTTTATTCTGTTTCATGTTTTATTTTTATAGTGCTGATTTAACTCCTCAGTTCCTTCTGTTTTCATTAAGATCTATTTCCAGCTTGAATTTTTTCTTTTAATATCTTGTCCTTGGATAACAACTGAGTAGGACCATCCTCTCTCAGCCAAATAAATTAAGTAATCGGTTTCACTTCCCTGGAACCCTTTGTTCCTATTCCATGTTTCCTTTAAGAGCTTTTCTACATTATGTACAGGATGAAAGAGACTTCACTAAAAAAAGTAAAAGGAATGAAATAATTTTAAAGAAGCAGAACATTTAGGGTACAAAAATTCATAAATTACTATAAAGTTTAATTGGATATTGGAATTGCAAAAAGAAGTTCTCTACCATTGTCTATTACTAAATTCTTAAAAATTTACTGTGAAACTGATTTAACATGTAAAGAACTGTGGGACTCCAGTTTTCTTCAGTGGATTAAATAGTCATTAAAATCAGATCAAATGTCATCTGTACTACATCATATTTCTGAGAACAGGGAACACAAATGTTCAACAGTCAACACTGAAAGAGATGAACACCAAGCACAGCATCTTATTATCATGAAGATTATGCATACCAAAGTGAGAAAAAAAAACCCATATGCTGCCATCCAAAAGCAGAAGAAAAAATCTTGAAAAAAATAGTTCTACTTTTCTGCACTTTATTAAGCTGCAGACAACCATCAACAATTTATTATTGATTCAAAACATTTTTTCCTTCCTTGGTTGTAGTAAACCACATAATCTTATCTTCCATTTTACGTACCTATTCTCATTTTCTTTCCTTCTACATGTCCTTAAAAAAAGGATGGGGGAGGAAAACTAAGAAATAGTTTGTGGACTATAAATCACCTAACCTCTTACACCCTAAACCCTCCAGCTATTAGAATAGTATTTTTCTTTCCTGTTTGTAGCCTCTGCTTGTTTATCAGCCGCTGATTCTTGTTCCTGACTTAGGCACAGGATGAAGAATTTCTACACTTGTTTGAAGAAAAAACAGCATTCATAGGTTGACCAGTTTCCCTTCTGCTCACAGATCTCCAAATACCAGCAGCTAAAGCAACCAGTACTGTCTGCCTCTACAAATGGCTGCTGCAAACTAGTGCCCCATATGATTGCATCCCTGTGACAAGGATTGCCAGAAAAAAAAAAGAAAAATAATTTTTAAAATGCTAGTATGATTCCAGGAAGGCTGGTAGAGCACTGAGGATCAGTGCAAGATCAAGCTCTATGAAAGGAAAGGACAAGGAAAAAAGGACAGAGGAAGGGGGAAAGGAAAGGGGAAAAAAAAAGGAAAAAAGGAAAGGGAGAGAGCTTCTGTATATTGTACGCTGCTGTACAGCTATCACACCTGCATGCTGAGCAGGCTTGTTCCTCATCTGGAGCAGCTCCCCAAATGCACCTCTGTATCCTGTTCCAGGCAAGCTGGGAAAACAGGCTTTATGTTACAGCTGTATATCCAACAGGCTGAATAACAGTAACCAGAAAAAAGTGCAAGAGTGGAAAGAGAAAATGTAGGTGCTGGGAAAGCTTTTTCAGACACCCTAAAGGCTTACCAGCTAACTCACTTGTGTTCTTACCCAAAACCAGGCAGCAGTGGGACTGAGTACAGGAGAAGGCACAGTACCTTCACCAGAAACCGCACACCCTCCCTGAAAGAAAAGCCAGCAGCAATAGCAATACACCCATCACCAAGTGTCCTCTGGATTGTGGATATGAGGGTCTTAGCGCTTATCACTGACGAATGCTTGAAAAGTCTCTGCATTTCTCACTTTCTCTATCACACTGTCACCATTTAACAGAACAAAAACCTAGTTAAAGCGCTGTAATGTTAACTGCTGTTCAGGGAACTCTTAGGTAATTTAGTAGCCTACAGTATTTATTGATGGTATTCACTGTTGGAAATTTTTTGGTAATATTTACTGCTTGAAGACAAAAATTACAGTTAATTTAAATGGACAACTAGTCTGGGAAACTATAAAAAAAGTGTGCTTACAGCTAGTAAATGGCAAATTAATTGCATAAAAAGGCAAAATTGTTTTTCGTGCTTATTTTAAGTAATTTATGTTGATGGTTCTAAAATAACTATAATTGCTCCAGAAAGAGATTCTGTTCTATGAAAAGTTGCATTCCACCCTCATCAGCTACTCTTGAGAAGGACATAACAGAACCGATGAAATATGAAGAAAGGAAAACAAGAAATAAAGGCTGGAAGGAAATAAAAAAAAGAAGAAACAATACACACCCCACTTCCCCCAAAAGTCTAAAGAATAAATAAGGCATGCAATTGATAGAAGAAGCAATAGTACCCAAAATTATAGCCTAAAGCTGTTTACCCTTCACAACAGGTAATATACGTCAACATATAGGGAAATTTAAAAAGGCAACAACATTTCAAGCTGGTGTGGAGGACATCTTTTCTTTAGGTAGAAAATGCTTTTAGCATAGCTAGAATTTCTCAGATAAATTGGGACTGCTTTGTGAATCAAAATTGTGACTCTTTTTACGTCAAAGTATTGGGAGGAACAAAATGAAGCTACTTCGCAGTAACTGGCATTTTCTGAGACGTCTTGTCAACATCGCTTTTCATGCTCTACGTATACATAAATCTCACAGCATGAGTAGCCATGAAAAAGAGCATCAATGCCGATGTGAAGCATTTTCAGACTCGAATGAACTAGATGATTCAACATCTATTAGAATCAGAGTAGTAATACTTTCAAAAAGTAAAAACACATGCAACAAACACCTTGCATTTTTTCTTTCAGTCTATCTCTACATTGAGATGAAGAAGAGAACCCACTAATGCAACAAATGTGAAGAATTTTTTTCTAAAAATTAGACAGCAAAAAGGGGAAGAGATATTGGCTTCTGAAAGCTATATCTACATTGCGTTGCATAGACCTAAGTTTAACCTAAATCAAGTCAAGCAAAACCATCACTATGTGGTTTTGATACCACCTAACTATTTGGTTTTGATATACTAAGCCTTGTCATATATCACTAATGGGAAAAAGAAATCGAATTATATATGTTACAACTAAGAACTTTTTCCCCAAGACCTCAAATTTCAAAGTGAAACATGTTCTAGGCAAGAATTTTTAATGAAACATGAGTTAGCGGACCAGTGATGGGAAACCACAGAAGGACATGGCAGTCCACATGAAGTACTACCTAGGGTTTTGGCACTGGCCACTGATAAGTACGAGAAATAACCTAAAACCCCTACACATCAGGCTTCATCTTCAATAACTGTCCACTGGCTGGACTGCCTGAACACTTAGGGTCATTCAGAAATACTCATATCGAGATGTAAAAATATCAGCTAAGCTCTACACTGATGAGACAGTGAGCAGTACTTCAGAATCACTGAAAGTCAATGTAAAGAATTTTAAAATAACAAGGCCATAGAAATATTAACTCTAGGAAAAGAGGAAGCACTGACAATCAGCACTGACAGTTAGACTAACATTTGAAAGCCACATCTATTCATAAGCAAGTATGCTAGTTGAACTTGTTAATATCCACCCACTTCTACATGTCTTGCACTGTAAGACTAATGAGCCCTATACCAAACCTCCCCCAAACAATACCAGTAATATGGCAGGGTTGTTTCCTTGCTTCTTGTTTTCTTTGTTTGCTTAAGTATCCTTGGTGCAAATTAAATAGGACATTTGAGGATCTGAGACAGGAAAATTGTCCGTGTATACAGCATATTGCTCTAGACCCTCCTAGCTCTCTCAGCTAATGGTTCCCAAGTATTCCCTGTTGTAGATGTGCTCTTTTTGCAGATTTTATTTCTGTTAGTTTAACAGCATCATGTGCTACTTTAAATGAATTAATTTCTATCAGATTCATTACTCTGCTTGTAATTTATTTGGAATCTACTTGGTCACAAAGTAACTTGGAAATCATGGCTGTAATTCAACCACTAAATCTGTGGGTTTTTTCCGGTAGATATTCAACAGTAGAAGTATATTGATGATACATTTGAAATGCAAAAATAAATTTAAATTACCAATTTGTACATACTCTTAAAACATGTCATTTAGTTAATTTTGTTACTATACAATCTTCCCTGACATTCAGAAGTTTCTTCTTTGTGTAGCTGAATACATGCACCTTTCTCAGGAGTCCATATATATCCTCAGAATATTTAAGAAGTCTCATTCATCATTTAATTGTTCATAAGGAACCCATACAGGCATATCAGCTCCATTTCTGGAACTAGGTTTTAAATGTCAGCAATGCAAATACGATGCAATAACCACTATGCCCAAGCAGCTGCAAAGCAAGGTGATGCAAGACCAACAACATATTAAGGATGTGCAGTGCATGTCATTACTTGCACTTCTCATCCCCAAACCCAAGACATATAATTACCCTGGAAAACAAACAAAAGAATTTCCAGTTAGAAGTCCAAAGGTATTTAGGAGAGAAAAGCTTCCAAACACCTGCCTTTTCTCACTATTGTGACAAGGAATTTCACAGGGAAACAGTGTACTTCAACCACCTGAAAAGTAACAATGGAAACAGGATGTGATGAGGATATTGATATTTTCACAGAAGTTTCCAAAACAGGTTTGTCACAGTAGTGTCCATTTAAAATTAAGCAGAATATCCATTGTGACATTTCCCTTTTTTGTGCACTTGCTTTAAACCAGGAAATATTTGAAAAAGTAAGCTACAGTAAACATGATAATCCTATAACCTTCCTTTAACAAAACAGCCCAACCAACCAAGCAAAAAAAAAACCCCACAACACACATGCTGTAGTCTAAATGTTTAAATAACTGTTCTACAGACCAGAAACCCAATCAGCAAACAAGAGAAAATTATTAAGCATAGTATAAAATTCACAATAAGAAAAACATCAGAAGGCATGCCTACAGTTTCTTTCACTCCTAGCATTTCCTCCATTCTGGATTCAAACAAAACCACTCATATATAGAAATACAAAAAACTACTTGAAAAATATTCATTAGCTCTTCCCTTCTTCCAAAGCATGTCCAACTTTTTCTGTAGGTGTAGGTGCTACTTTACTGGTACACTTTTGCTCTTAAGACACCTGATGTTTTAGCTACATTTCTTTTTCTTACCAGATCGGAAGCGCTCATCCCTTGAATTGGTAGAACGGGATTTCTGCTGTTTAGATACAGCAGCAGTAGCTTGCGAAGCGCCTGGGACTCTGTTCTCTGCTTGCAGGGATGGATCCACACCTGAAATACAGTTTTATTTCAGTACAAATTCAGGTTCACAAATAAAACATCTGCTTCCCATGTCTACATTCTTTTACCACCCTTGACACCTACTTACAAGTTCAACTGGAGCCCTAAGTCTATACCTTTAAAAAAATCTCAACTTCCAACTGCATTTTAAATTATTTAAACTAAAACTTATCTTGATCTGATAAGCATTTCACACAGAAGATAAGAAACACTTCTGAATAACAGAAAAACTCCTTTGCCTCTTGCAGGAGTTTACAATCATTTGTCATTAGGTGTTCTGTATGCCAGATCCATGCGGAGGGAGGAGAGGGAACCAATCTTCTCCCAGCTTACTGCTAGACATCAAGAGAAATGCTGCAAAGATGGTTACAATTACACATTGGACTTGGAGATCTTGAGGAGACAAGATGATACTGCTCCACCTTTTAAATAAAGCTTGAAGCACTCTGTCAAATTTCTTTTGAGTCTAAACACAAGACAGCTAATTTGAGTAAAAATTAGGAATGTGCATATCTGTTTATTCCCATTTAACAGAGCAATACTCAGAAGATTCACTTTTACAAAAACTCTGCAATTCTCTAATAAAAACTTTGCAGATATTAAGGGCAGAATTACTCTGCCAGCTTCAGCTGTCTAAAAACTACTGCTCTAACGTAGGTTGGCTGGGTACTTTTTATACTCATTAAAGGATTACAGATCTTCCCATCCCCTTAAAGGGTAACAAAAATAAGAGGAAAAAAAAGCTCTCTAATTGTTTCCTCTGCCCCTGTCTAGAACAGGGCTCTAGACAGATTACCTAGAGCAAGCGCCTACCTTTAGGCTAGCTAACGTTCAGGAAGATGAATCTCACCTTTACATTCTAGCATAGCAGAAATAAGAAACCAAAGGGGTGGACAGTAACCATTAAGTATTCCCCATCGCTCCCTAACCTCCCAAACAAGGAGACTCCATGTTGGCTCTTGATACATCTGCAAGGACTATACAAATTTGAGCTCGGAACTTACACTTGCAATTTTATTTTCTCACCTGTTATACATCTACACTTAAAGTACAAAACCAAGACCTGAAACCTCCGCAGGCGCTCTCTGAGGATACACATCACACACAACCATGAGAAACCAGAGGAACATAAGGAACAAAGAAGCACTCTCTTCAGTTCGTACTGTTTTAAGACTGGTGAATGATCACCTTCAGGAAATGCAAAAGCCACTACATACCAAGTACAACAAATGTAAAATTACAATGCAGTTGGAAAGTTTTTTTGTATGAACCTATCATAAATTTATGATCTTACGTGGCTATTTGGCTTAGCGTTGTGTTTAATAGTAAACTTTCCTTAGGCATATAAGATCTGCTGCACCAAGTTTACTATGTTTCTAGCCTTAGTTTTGTACTTTAAGTGTAGATGTATAATAGGTGAGAAAATAAAATTGCAAGTGTAAGTTCCTAGCTCAAATTTGTATAGTCCTTGCAGATGTATCAAGAGCCAACAAGGAGTCTCCTTGTTTGGGAGACTGGGGAGCGATGGGGAACATTTTATGGTTACTGTCCACCCCTTTGGTTTCTTATTTCTGCTATGCTAGAATGTAAAGGTGAGATTCATCTTCCTGAACGTTAGCTAGCCTAACTTGTACCTATATGGTACAAGTATCATATAGGGCTGAGTATATCTTTCATTTTACTCTTTCCTTCACCTGCCCTCAAGTCTTGCTAGACCTAGAAACAATATTTTCAAAATGCAGATATTTACAGAAAGCAGCTTTCACTGAACTGAAGACGTCACTCAAGAGGAATCCGTGCCAGTTCCTTTGGAAGTAAAGCTCTTTCTTCAACAAGTAAGAAAGGATTCCTCTTTCTCTCATGGGATTTCTGTTCCCTCCCCTTTCCCCCAAGTGCGTACCAAGAAAGAAATTGGTAATTAATTATTAATAAATCTAGCAATTATAAGAGTTTTTTATTAAGACCTTTCAAGGAAGACGTGGTCTTCACATCTGAAGTGTAATTTTTCAAACAGTAATTGGATTAAGTATACCAGTTCTACCTCAACTAATCAAAACGCACTTTCAAATACTCTCTTTAAGTATAATATCCACAGGAAAAGTGTTTTATCATCTTCGTGACTGATCAGTTGCTATACATCAGCTTTCTTATGTATCTGTTAACATCACTAGGTGAATGCGCTCCATAATCCATTTTCCATCCCCATTTGCAGCTGAGAGTTAACCCCTCTGGATGTTGAGAAGCCAACCTTGAGTTAGCCATGGGTTCAGGGAGGGTGCGTGGGGAAAAAATATGAGCCTAAATAATAGAAAAGGAAGAAACATTTAATAAATCACACAGATCTAAGTTTTTAGAAATTAGTCCAACTCCAGAGACATGCTCCTGTCTTTTACAATTTGCTATACAGAAAGAACAAACACATTCTCACCTAACGGCATTTTCCTACTCTCCAAAAGTAAAGCTTTTGAAGTAGACAACAGGCTAAGTAACAACAAATGCATTTCCCAATAGGAGAAATGAGACAGGCCAGTAAAGAAACTGAAGTGTCCTCAACGGAGAGCAGTTGAACATGAAGCTGAGTAAGCACATGATGTTTCAGTGCTACCCAATACAGAGACACTTTAACAGAATTCTAAAAGAAAAGCAAATTTAGTCTACCAACTGAATTGATTCAACATATCCGATACTCAGAGTGGTTAAAACACTTGAGAATTGTATTTTACATTTCATGCGAACAAAAGTTTTACATAATCACAAGTCAAGAATCCAGCAAGATTTGTTGATCTGGAAACGGTAAACAACAACTTCATATTTCATTAAAAAGATTGAGGGAAGTCATCTCCTCAAAGCCTGAGCCAAAAAAAGAGCAGATGCAAACGGACAATGCGATAACTAGGGTGGTGAAAAACAGAACAGGACAAGCAACTAAGCTGGGAGTCTCCGTAAAATAGATTGCCTGTTTATGAAATTTTCAGACAACAGCATATCGACATTAGGAAGGTCAACGTGCCAAACATCAGGTCAATTTTGTGTGATCTTGTCACAGGGGACCTTGGGTGAAGAAGGCAACAAAAGAGCAGGAGATTATTTTTTTGGTGCCGTTTTTTTCCTCCAAAAGAGGGCTGTTAGTCGTAAGTGGAAGAAGAGATTAATGCTCTACTCATAATTCCTTACTCTTATCTTTTCTAGTCCTACAGTTCAGTGCCCAGATTTCCAAACCTGTCTCTCTCCCTGGGCACGGTATAGCCCATGAATCCCCATTTTGAACTCCTGCAGCTGATATATAAGCAAGTAACTACAGAGCCTTGGAATCAGGACTCATAAGACCACAACCAAGCCCCTTTCCCACTCTGTGATCCCATATGCCGGGCAAAGCTGGTCAGCATAACTTGTGATCAATGACACTGCTGCATCTGGCACAAGGGTTTAGCCCTTGAATGTACAGGGAAAGTAAGATGGAAAATGAGCTAACTGGAATAATCAATCAACAGATGACAAGGTGCATGTGGGATGCTTCCAAGCCACATGCAACTTGAGCATTGCTATTTGGCCATACCAGTACTGGGGGCAGAGGGAGCGGGGAGGAGAAGGGACCCCAAATAAGCATAAGAGTACATAAAGCTTAAAAGCTTACCAACTCCAAAACCAGAACCCTCTCCTCCTCCAACACTTACAGAACAGACTTTTGTGGGTCAGAGTTAGGGCAGCTGTATTGTGATGAAATATATATCAGTGAACCTCAAGAGTTCCCTTTAAATTAGGATGAGGCACAAAAACAGTGGCACTGTTGGAAACCACAACTGTGTTTCATCAGGTTAAATCTCCCTTTTTGCTTTCTCAAAGAAGAAGGTTTCACATCATAGTGAAAAAATACCAAGGATGAGTCTGAAAAACATCACTTTTTGGTAAAAATAGTATGATATTGCATCTAACTCTTAGGCCACACAATTATGTGCCAGAAAAATCCTGTTCCACAAGCTTGATGAACTTGTTAATTTATTCTGGTACTATGCAAATCACTACCTTAGCCTTCAGCAAAAGCAGCTGGATAATTAGGCTAACTCCCCCCATTCACACTGAAGAAAAAAAAAACATTTTTGTAATGGCTTTTTTTGTTTGTTTTGTAACAAAAATACACTTTATTTTTGTTAGATAGACACTTGATCCACTATCACTGTATTTTGTCCATTTTTAACTTACCCAAAGCTAGCAAGAATTAAAAGTAATTTTAAAGAGGCTGCTTGTTCCAATTAACTGAACAATTAATTTCTACAGGATGCAATTAAAGTTAATGTTTGAATTATAACTGTATTTTTCCATCCACTAGCACTGGAGAATCAAGACTAGCACTGACATTTCTAGCAATTTTCATTTATACAAGCAAAAATTATTTTACTATAAAAGCACCGAACAGTTGACAATACAATGAAGACTCTTTGCTAGCATCGCTGGGGAGGATGCCTAGCTAAACACACCTGGCATTAGATAGGCAGAGATAAAAATTTAAAAAACATACTTAGCAAAAGCACAAACTTTACTGCTAGAGGACTCTCCTGGGCAACCCACATGCAAAGCAGTTGCCCTATTGCCTCTTTCATCTCATCTGCGTAAGATGTGATGTCTTAACGTCAAAATCAATGGTTTTTAAAGACTTTCACCAATGTCTAGGCAAACTCTTATTTGAAACATCTATTAGACAGTCAAATGAATTACCTTTGCAAAAAGACTGATCTTGAAATTCATCTCCCAAAATAGAAATTCAAAGTAATTTCAGTTCTAAACTAGGTTAATTTATGTAAGTTGTACCAGTTTACTAGCTGAACCTTTCAAAAGTATTCTCTTCCAAGTTTTAACGGTAAATTGAAAAGTAAAACCAAAGCAGTTAAAAGAGCATGGTAACAACTCCCTCATCTCAGTTTTACTTGCATTGCTACCCAATTATGTATCATGCCTCCAAACATCCACAGTCTGCAGAAGATGACCTATCATAT